TGCGGCTGCAGCGGATGCGCCGGGAGCTGAGCAACCGCAGGAAAATCCTGGTGAAAAACCTGCCTCAGGACAGCAACTGCCAGGTACCGGGACGCGCTGCGAGGCGACGCGTCCCGGGGGCTACGGGCGGGAGCTTCAGAGGGAAGCCGCCCCCGAGGTGTCCAGGCTGGTGCCCGGCGCCCGGGAGCGGTCCTGGGGAGGAGGGGGTCGTGCAGAGTTAGAAGAACGGTCCGTGGCTTTGCAGAGCCCTCCGGGTTTCTGAGCCTGCGGTCGCCCCGCGAGGGCGGTACTTTAGGAAACTGAGTCTCGGACAGGCGACGGGAATTGGCTCGTCCAAGGTCACAGGAAAGTCCGGCTCGCTCTTTCCTTCCCCTGTGGTCAGGGGCGTGTGTGTGTGGGTGGGAGCGGTCTGGGGAGTAGTCGTGGACAAAGTAGGTGAAAGAGGGTGGAGGTGAGCTGTGGGGCACAGATTTGGGGGGGCCAGGTCTCGGGAACACTTGGAGACGGGCTGGGGGTCCCGCGGGGTCCTCGGGACTTGGGTGTGCCGTGGGGGGCGGGGTCACGGCAGAGCTAGGAGGGAGTTTTGCTGTTGCAAAAGCACTTGACCAAGTTTGTATGAAACAACTCTGCCCCCTCAGTTTGCTGAGGCCCTGGAGTAGAGAGGTTATCGCTGCGCTGTGGGGAGCCTTGCAGCCCTCTTCTGCCATGCCAAATCCTGGAGGATTTGTTACTCAGAGACTCCGAGGAGACTTAAAGATAGGCTACGCTGTGTCTTTGATCCGGATTAGCTGTTGCTTTAGGATTAAAAACTCTATATCTGACTTTTTTTCCCCCCTCCTTGATTGCCAAATTAACATGCTCATTGTAGGAAAGTTAGAAAATACAAAGAAGCGCAAAGGGGGGAAATAGAAACCACCTTTTTTTTCTGATACTTAAAGATAACCATTTTTAACGTGGGGTATTAGCTTTCTTTTCCTGAGCGTGTATACACATATGTACGTAGTTTTGTTTTACCCCCCGCAAAAGAGAATTTCTTTGATTCTTCAGGGTTTCTTAATTGCCTAGATGTTCACGTGTGTTTTACAAATAACTAGTATTTATACACTTTGTGGAGGTAGGGAAGGTAGTCTCTCCTAGTTTGCAGATTTGGGGCAATTCCTGCAGTTCATCCTGTGGCAGGATGCATGGAATTGCAGTAGGTTGCCTATTGATAACCGCAGCAGTTCTTCCATAAAATCCACAAAATAACAAGACCAATGCTTCGTTACTATGTAATTAGACCTTACAGAGCCACTCACAATAAATGTGAGCATATAACCTTATAACTCATACGTGAGGGCTGTTTTGTCTCAAAAAGCAATATGAAGTCTCTGTCAGTATTTGTACGTCTCATCTCTCTTTGAATGCTTTCCATCATTGTCCACTTCCCATCAGGCAGGTAGTATTTTGTGATGCTGCCTGTAAGAACACCTGCAATGGGCTCATTTCATAGAAGCAGCTTTCCGCTGCCCACACAAATACGGCAAATAGACAGCAAGCGAGCTCGGAAGAGGGAGGCCTGGGAAAGGCAGATGGCATTTAAAAAAAAAGCTGAAGAAATAACAGCTCTGTGTGTAATCTAGAAGAGAGATGGAGAAGTGTCTAGGTTTCCTTTGTAGAATGTCAACTATTTTTCTTATGTTTCCTTACATTAATTCTAAAAATATTTAGACCAAAAATTTTTGACGGTTCTGTATATTCCTGCTTTGCTGTTGGTAACTTTTTCATCTTCCTTCTCAAGAGACTTGAAAAATATATCAAACGGTCTAATAAAAGGAACAGTTTTAATTACCTGTTAAGGATGGAGAGAGGTTTTATGAGAATTACACTCGTGTATTTTTGAGATATTCTTTCACTTATGAATTTGTTTTGCCTAAATTTTAGGATTTTCTGTAAGATAGCAAGCATAAACTATCACGTAAGATTAGTATAAGATTTGTATGTTTAGATGAGTCTTTTACTGCCAACTAACCTTAAATTTTTATGTTAAGTTAAATTTTTATGCCACATTTGTTTTGAGAGCTGAAAAGTTTCATCTATGAGCAAAAAAAAAAAAAAAATGTTGCTAGGACCTAGAGACTAGTTTCCAGACGTGCTAGTGTTTATTTTTCTCTATTATGATTAATAAAGTGTTAGTTTAAGGATTTCTGATGATATAGTTTTAAATTCAAAACAGATAAACATTTGATTATAGATAATGTTTAAGTAGTGTTTTTCTTATCATCTTCTATACTTGTACCTTTCCTAAGCTTTCTGATCACAGTCATAGCTATTAGTGGTCCATGTTACATAAATAAGTAGAATAGATCAAAATATGCTAATTTCTAAAAGCAATTAAAAGGCAGTCTTTTCTTTAGATTATTTAGATAGAGAATTACTTTTTTTTATTAGTCAGATAAAGTTAACATTTATTTGATCCATTTCTCAAGTTGTAATATTTTCATGAATATGTTCTGCAAGGATTTTTATATATTTTATTTTTCATTTCCC